TTGATATTAAGTTCAGATTGTTTTTTTCCTTTTATTAGAAGGAGATCTATAAAGTAATTTTTTTTCAACAAATAAATATGCTATGTGCACTCGTGAAAAAGCAGACTTACGACACCATATAAAGATTTAAAGACTAAATAAAAGATTATTTCCCCGACTAAGACTGACATTTATCGCAGTATGTAATTCACTATGTGTTTTAGGAGTACTTGAAAAACTAAGGCCGAAAAACACTAACACGTGCAAAAAAATCTCGTTAGATCCATTCAACAGGCTGCAGCACGTTCACAACCTAGAGCAAAGGTCCATGATGAGAGCTCACTGTCAGCTTCCCACTACAACAGCTTGTTACACTTAACAGATCACTTTCTTTGAGACACTGACATGTTTGAGTTCAGAAGTTGCAAACATAGCAGTCTGCCTGTCAAACAAAAACCCCAAATGACAAAAGGCCCCGCGGTGAGGAAGGAGCCTGGTTTGCAGCTCTCTCGCTCTGCTTATTAGTGTTTGGCAGCAGCTGACGGTCTGTGGCTGAACGCTGCTCGCTCGGTGAGCACTTTTCTCCTGGAGGACTTCCCCGCTCTTACTTTCAGGGCTGTGTGGCTGGAGATTAGAGCTCAGAATACAGCCATCCATCCTTGACACTAGACCTCAATTTTCTCTCTCTCAGCCTTAGCATCTCTGCTCTCATGTGGCATCAAATTGACTACATGAAAACTGTGCTCAAAAAAAGTTACGAGATGTATGTTTTTTTTTAACCATATGTTGACACTTCCAACTCCTAGGAGATCTGCGAAAACAATGTTGTGGTATGATTATAGCCATTTTTTCTCATGCACCAATTGACATCAGCTTAATGTATTTTCCGCACTTAGCGATTCTGAATTTTGCTGTTCTCATTCCAACAGTCAGTAATACAAGGAAAATTCAATTTTCATGTTATTATAGCAATCAATCAAAAACATGTCATGTTGGGTTCAAACCTCTAAATAATTGTACATAATTTGATTTGTTGCAAAAAAGGGGTAAACAGACCTCTTGAGGCATTTTTTATGATTACTGTCACACAGTGAATAAGATTCGCTTATTTTCTCTGTGTGCTAGTACTCACACTAATTTCACTCATCGCGCATTGTATTAACAGTCGACTAAAGTTTTCAGGAGCTAAATAAATTACATCATTTTAATTATATTTGCTCAACATAGTTGACACAAGCTTGTTTTGGAAATAACAGAGAAACCAAAACTTCCATAAACTTTACAAAGTGTCCTTAGCCTCACTTGTGCACCATTACAACCCAGTCATTTACAATATATTTACAGATGTACGAGAGTGCTAGACTTTATTTTATTTTTCCACTCTTGAGATCATGTCTGTGTATAATCACTCTGCACAATGAGAATTTTAATCTGTAACAGCTGTTACAGTGCCAGTTGCAATGATCACCTACTCGGTGCTCCCCCAAAACATTTATTCCTTCATGAGTTTGCTTTTCTAATGAAGTGCTTCCTTCATTTATACCCACCTCTGGTCTGCGGCCCCTGTTGACATACACACAGACGGGACTATACGCTCCACTGCCACACATGAACAGATGAGTCCTGTTATAAGGCTGCACCACCCGGATGAAGTTCCCACAGCCGTGCTAGAAAATAAGGATAAACAATGAGAGGCACATGCTAATGTAAGTGATGTAGATTTAAGAGAACAAATGAGACACTTTTTCTCTAAAAAATTCAATTTTGAATTCATAAGCTCTTGCTTAATTTAATGAAATCAGGGATTTAGCATCTGTATCCTTTGCTGATCCAGTAAGAAGGGGCTTTCTGGTATTAAATGTAAGCTAATGTGAACTAACTGACTTTATGACTCTACTTAGAGAGACCTCAAATAAACTAAACTAAATGAAACAACTGAACTGACTCTTTAGACCAGTGGTGTCAAACATGTGGCCTGAGGGCCAAAATTAGCCTGGCAAAGACTTTAATTCTGCCTACTGCCTTTACAATGCGTCCACAGTGAAATAAAGAACAAACAGAAAAATATTTAACAAAAATGTTGTTTTATAATTACAGGGCAGTCTGCGAAATGAGCTATCAAAACTTTTTCTGTAACTTCAAAACATTTTTCTTCCAATTTAAGCCCAAAGAGCCATGCTGACTAATTTATTTCATTAAATAGAGCATTATTTCTTTATCATGTACAAAAACTGAGATGTGCTGTTGAAATCACACTTTTCCTTATATTAAGAAATCACAGTGATTTTAATGTGGAGATAAACTTGAGATCAAAGTGTGCTGTATGTGGCCCCTGATGTAAAATAAGTTTGACATTCATGCTTTAGACTGTTCTTTACTTAATTTTAATATTAATTATATCAATAAACAGAGGAAAGGTATGTAGACTAAAGAGATTTTAATACGGTACTATCTTTAATCAAAGGCAGCCTCAAGTGGCCGTGACAGGAACTGCAGTTTTTAGGTCCTACAGCACTGGCTCAGGATTGGTTGTGCCATAACAAAAGTTGAATGTTTTAACTGATTTTCATTTATAGCCATGGTGCACTTAGTCCCACAGGTATTCATATTTGAAGTTATATTTAATCTTTACAGTTATTACAGCAATAACAAAGATAATCACTGCTGCCTTTTTTTTTTAATCCCACAGATTGGACCAGACCAGCCACTGAGGAGAGACCTAATTCGTGTTATATAGCCAAGGAGACACACAAATAAAGAACCTATTTGTCGCTCTGGAAGTATTTCTTTCCCATATGCGGGAGTAATTCAAACTTATCTCACTGTTGTTGTGACGGTTATAAAATCACATGCTGCACAATAAAAGGATCCCGGAGCTCACAGGTCTGGTATTAAGGGCAGTGGAAAAAACATGTCAGCGGTATATGTGACATATCTAGGTAAGACTGACTACTACTCTCACTTCATCTCTTCATCTCTGCTTCCACTTTCCAAACCCCACAGCTGTAGGTGTGCTGGACTTTGTGGCTAATTAAGCCCGAGTTTGCAGAAAATGAGTGGAGAAGTGAGGAGAAAGAAGTGGGGAGAAGAACACATGTCCAGGGAGCTGTCAGGAACTTGGCCAAGGCTGCTGGAATGACAGCTGCTGCAGCGCATGGTCACTGCACAAGGCTCCACTGAGAGCGATCAATGCAAAGTAACAAAACTTTTTTACTGACACGCACCCACATCTATCATGTTTCGTACTGTTTTTTCTGTTTTTTTTTAATCTAACTCTCTGTCTGTCTCATCAAATCCTTCTGAGGCCTTTCAAACTCAAATATATATGAGCTATCATGTTTGATTTCATGTTTCCTGATATAAATACAGCCTTCTTTTAAAGTTGATACATTTGACAAAGCAGCAAACAGACTTAATATCCCCCATGATGCTACATGCGTGACCACAGATCATACTGCAGAAGGGAACCTTATATTTATAACAATAACATATGTACAAGGCTCTGATAAAAGAAGAAAAAAGCTTGTGAGAGGGGAGACTGTGTACGAGAGAAAAAAAAAACTGCAGTGTGGTGTAAAAAGAAAAGAAAGGGAGAGATGTTAAAGGAGTTGGAAAAAGTGACCAAGGAAAAATGGTAAGATGGAAACAGAAAGTAAAATCTTTAAAGGAAAACTCGCAGGGATTCAATAAGAAAAGGCATGACAGAAGGGAGAAGAGGCCATCAAGTGGCTCCACACAGAGATGGCTCACCCAAATATTTGTGGTAGCCTGTCTGCAGCAGGCTTGCTATGAGTCAGAGCAGCACAAATCACACCATGACTGGAAACAGCTTTTTTTTTCCTGTATCTGCAACAGCATGTTGAATAAAACCCTGGCTCTGTTAGCCCAGGGCCTGTCAGATGATGCAGAGATGGTGGAGAATGTGTGAAACCATGGAGGACTGGCAGCAGATTGACTCTTTTTTAGTTACATTAAAAATTAGGCCTTTCTTTTGTGTAAAAAGTTAGTTTTTCTCTTTCCATTTGCATGTCCTCAGCCCTGCTGTATATATAGACAACTGTGCGTGCACTTGTTTCAGAACAACCCAATTAGAGGAAAACAGATGCGGAGGAGGAATAAATTGACTCTCGCTGTATGTCTTCATTAAACCTTGTTGTAGCTAACAAGTGCTTCTCAGAACCAGGGTGGCTTATGAAATATCTGCGTCAGTAAGCTTTGAGTCTGTTTTTTTTTATTTTTTATTTTTACACTGATCCGTGGCATTTCAATCGCCTCCACACCTCGATCTTGCACTGACTAACTGTGACGATGCCACAAGGACTCCAGGCCAGGCGGTGACCCTGCAGACATCTGCTGCTTGATAGAAATACAGTTGGATCTGACGCAAACTCACAGATGCGAGAGGGAAATCCCAGGAGGCAACTTCCGCTGCAGACCCACTTGGAGGAGCGGATCTTGGAACAGCTGACTAAACCTTTAGTCAAGATTAGGGGTGTCAAACTCATTTTAGGTTGTGGGCCGCATATAGCTCAGTCTGGTCTTAAGTAGCCTGTGCCAGCAAAACTATTGCTCAGTAACCTATAAAATTCTTCATGTTCTTTTAGTGTGAAGGAGTTTAACAACACGTCTTAAGAAAAAGAAGAGTAATTTGTCCCAGTTTTAATGACACTGTAGTAAATCAAAGAAACCCTGTCATGTTGACTCTTTGGGCCCAACTTTGTTAAATAGGATAGCTCATTATCTGTATTTTGTCCTGTAATTATCATAACTCAGACAAAGAAAATACGTAGAAGTGCTGCAAAGGAAACCAAGGAAATTGTACAGCAGGTAGTGAAAAAACTAAACAAGAAAAAACCCCTTTTTTTTCAAAGCGGTAATAGGACAACAGGGGGTTTGGGAGGTCTAGATTGATTCTTGTCCACCAAATATAATAATAAGGAGCTTTTTTTTTTTGCCTTAATTCTTGTCAAAGGGAAACAACTTTCTTCTTTCTTTTGTTACAGAGTATAGCATGGTGGAAAAGGATGGAGAGAATCCCCCACTAAGCTTTTGGGTTGGCATTTCTTTAGATTTTGTTTTGTATTAATTGCATGCTTTGGTGTTTTTTTTGTGTTTGATGTGAGGTGTGGGCCACACCCATGTGGGAGTGGAGATTCTACTCTAGTCCAGCTGCCAGCTATTTGGAGTTGAATACAGGGAGCAGCTGATTGGGGAGGATTGGAGCCCTTCTCTATAAAGGGGAGAGGAAACAGGAAGTAGGGGTTGTCGTTGTTTTTTTTAGTAGGACACTGGTGAAGCAGGGAAGCCTCGAAGATCCAGGATGAAGTGTGCACATTTTAATGGAAAAGATTTTTAACCTGGCCTGGTTTTGCTTTTAAAATAAACTGAGGATGTTGGAGGGAGGACTCATTCTTATTGGGATGTGAGTGGATGTGCTGGAAGGCAGGAAAACAAACACTGGACTGGAGACTCTCTGTGCCCCTGACAAGGAAACTGGACCAGTTTTGGGGAAGTTCCAGCTCCCAGGATGTGATGTGGAGACCCAGCCTCGAACGAAGTCAGGCCTGAAAAGGTGGGTGGCAAGCCTTTTTGAGGAAGCTGCAGGATTGATACGTTTTTGCTGCTTGTTCTTCCAAGTGACCACCTTTCCCCTGTTTGTAACCAGGCTAACAACCCTGACCGCGGTGGCCTTGGGCCTTGGATTCCTGGCCAGAGTTGTGTCTTCAGCCAGTAGTTTTACCCGGAGAAAGAACAAATAAATCTTGTGTAACCCATTACAGTGTGCGTGTGGTGGTTCGTTACTGGTCAATATTAGAGCTACCACTTTCTTGTACGGAGGCCATTTTGTGCATTTACATTCAATTTGACAAATAAAGAAATAAAGCTTTCAATGAAAAATATAAGCAAAAGTATGTTTTTCTAATCATACTTTAACTGTTCTTATTGTGGGACAGTGACAGATTTAATGCTGAATGATCCAAAAATGTTTAAAAATGACCGTTATGGGATTATGATAAACAAAACTAAATATTACATTTATTGTTTAGCTAGATAGTGATATAACTGAATTTGAGCGAAAGGGTGCTAAAGAAGCTAAATAACTTCTAAATAAGCTACCTTTTTTAGTTAGCATTGGGGATTTAGTTATGAATTATTAGCGGTGTGGCTACCTTGTACTAACTAGCTGTCTGCTAGCAATGTTAGGCTTCTTGTAGGTCACTAATTTCACTTCTTAAATGTTTTTGTAGTGTTGGTTCTTAATATGGCAAATAATATGGCGTGCTGTAACGTTAATTTCATTTACATACTGTCGGACTGATTAACAGATCAGTGATGTGTGTGACCCATCTTTGATCTACAGGGAGTGCAGAATTATTAGGCAAATGAGTATTTTGTCCACATCATCCTCTTCATGCATGTTGTCTTACTCCAAGCTGTATAGGCTCGAAAGCCTACTACCAATTAAGCATATTAGGTGATGTGCATCTCTGTAATGAGAAGGGGTGTGGTCTAATGACATCAACACCCTATATCAGGTGTGCATGTTTTATTATTAGGCAACGTCCTTTCCTTTGGCAAAATGGGTCAAAAGAAGGACTTGACAGGCTCAGAAAAGTCAAAAATAGTGAGATATCTTGCAGAGGGATGCAGCAGTCTCAAAATTGCAAAGCTTCTGAAGCGTGATCATCGAACAATCAAGCGGTTCATTCAAAATAGTCAACAGGGTCGCAAGAAGCGTGTGGAAAAACCAAGGCGCAAAATAACTGCCCATGAACTGAGAAAAGTCAAGCGTGCAGCTGCCAAGATGCCACTTGCCACCAGTTTGGCCATATTTCAGAGCTGCAACATCACTGGAGTGCCCAAAAGCACAAGGTGTGCAATACTCAGAGACATGGCCAAGGTAAGAAAGGCTGAAAGACGACCACCACTGAACAAGACACACAAGCTGAAACGTCAAGACTGGGCCAAGAAATGTCTCAAGACTGATTTTTCTAAGGTTTTATGGACTGATGAAATGAGAGTGACTCTTGATGGGCCAGATGGATGGGCCCGTGGCTGGATTGGTAAAGGGCAGAGAGCTCCAGTCCGACTCAGACGCCAGCAAGGTGGAGGTGGAGTACTGGTTTGGGCTGGTATCATCAAAGATGAGCTTGTGGGGCCTTTTCGGGTTGAGGATGGAGTCAAGCTCAACTCCCAGTCCTACTGCCAGTTCCTGGAAGACACCACCTTCAAGCAGTGGTACAGGAAGAAGTCTGCATCCTTCAAGAAAAACATGATTTTCATGCTCCATCACACGCGTCCAAGTACTCCACAGCGTGGCTGGCAAGAAAGGGTATAAAAGAAGAAAAACTAATGACATGGCCTCCTTGTTCACCTGATCTGAACCCCATTGAGAACCTGTGGTCCATCATCAAATGTGAGATTTACAAGGAGGGAAAACAGTACACCTCTCTGAACAGTGTCTGGGAGGCTGTGGTTGCTGCTGCACGCAATGTTGATGGTGAACAGATCAAAACACTGACAGAATCCATGGATGGCAGGCTTTTGAGTGTCCTTGCAAAGAAAGGTGGCTATATTGGTCGCTGATTTGTTTTGGTTTTGTTTTTGAATGTCAGAAACGTATATTTGTGAATGTGGAGATGTTATATTGGTTTCACTGGTAAAAATAAATAATTGAAATGGGTATAAACAGTGGGGCAAAAAAGTATTTAGTCAGCCACCGATTGTGCAAGTTCCCCCACTTAAAATGATGACAGAGGTCAGTAATTTGCACCAGAGGTACACTTCAACTGTGAGAGACAGAATGTGAAAAAAAAAATCCATGAATTCACATGGTAGGATTTGTAAAGAATTTATACGTAAATTAGGGTGGAAAATAAGTATTTGGTCACCTCAAACAAGGAAAATCTCTGGCTCTCACAGACCTGCAACGTCTTCTGTAAGAAGCTTTTCTGTCCCCCACTCGTTACCTGTATGAATGGCACCTGTTTGAACTCATCATCTGTATAAAAGACACCTGTCCACAACCTCAAACAGTCAGACTCCAAACTCCGCCATGGCCAAGACCAAAGAGCTTTCGAAGGACACCAGGAAAAGTATTGTAGACCTGCACCAGACTGGGAAGAGTGAATCTACAATAGGCAAGCAGCTTGGTGTGAATAAATCAACTGTGGGAGCAATCATCAGAAAATGGAAGACATACAAGACCACTGATAATCTCCCTCGATCTGGGGCTCCACGCAAGATCTCATCCCGTGGGGTCAAAATGATCATGAGAACGGTGAGCAAAGATCCCAGAACCACACGGGGGGACCTGGTGAATGACCTGCAGAGAGCTGGGACCAAAGTAACAAAGGTCACCATCAGTAACACACTACAACGGCAGGGAATCAAATCCCGCAGTGCCAGACGTGTTCCGCTGCTGAAGCCAGTGCATGTCCAGGCCCGTCTGAAGTTTGCCAGAGAGCACATGGATGATACAGCAGAGGATTGGGAGAATGTCATGTGGTCAGATGAAACCAAAGTAGAACTTTTTGGTATAAACTCAACTCGTCGTGTTTGGAGGAAGAATAATATTGAGTAGCATCCCAAGAACACCATACCTACTGTGAAGCATGGGGGTGGAAACATCATGCTATGGGGCTGTTTTTCTGCCAAGGGGACAGGACGACTGATCCGTGTTAAGGACAGAATGAATGGGGCCATGTATCGTGAGATTTTGAGCCAAAACCTCCTTCCATCAGTGAGAACTTTGAAGATGAAACGAGGCTGGGTCTTCCAACATGACAATGATCCAAAACACACCGCCCGGGCAACAAAGGAGTGGCTCCGTAAGGAGCATTTGAAAGTCCTGGAGTGGCCTAGCCAGTCTCCAGACCTCAACCCCATAGAAAATCTGTGGCGGGAGTTGAAAGTCCGTGTTGCTCGGCGACAGCCCCAAAACATCACTGCTCTCGAGAAGATCTGCATGGAGGAATGGGCCAAAATACCAGCTACTGTGTGTGCAAACCTGGTAAAGACCTATAGTAAACGTTTGACCTCTGTTATTGCCAACAAAGGTTATGTTACAAAGTATTGAGTTGTATTTTTGTTATTGACCAAATACTTATTTTCCACCCTGATTTACGAATAAATTCTTTACAAATCCTACCATGTGGATTCATGGATTTTTTTTTTTTTTCACATTCTGTCTCTCACAGTTGAAGTGTACCTCTGGTGCAAATTTCTGACCTCTGTCATCATTTTAAGTCGGGGAACTTGCACAATCGGTGGCTGACTAAATACTTTTTTGCCCCACTGTATTTGTTTTTTGTTAAGTTGCCTAATAATTATGCACAGTAATAGTCACCTGCACACACAGATATCCCCCTAAAATAGCTAAAACTAAAAACTACTTCCAAAAACATTCAGCTTTGATATTAATGGGTTTTTTGGGTTCATTGAGAACATGGTTGTTGTTCAATAATTAAATTACTCCTCAAAAATACAACTTGCCTAATAATTCTGCACTCCCTGTATAGCTACATCTTGCTAACCAAACTTAATGTTGCTAACTGATAAATTAACGCTTCGTATTGTTGTTAAAATTTGGTCACTGCTGGTGCCAAAAACCCCAACATGGTGATACGCACAACACTAAACTCAAAGCTTCAAAACACAGGGTGATGTTATGGTGACCAAAACTATCTTTTATATAGAGTCTTTGTATTTAGCTGAATGCTAAAAACATGTAAATGAACAACATGCAATCTATGCTGTAATGTGTTATTACAGTAGTGGGAGTCTAAAATAAATCAAGAAATCAAAGAGGTTTAATCTCCTTACTGTAGGGTCCTTGCCTGCCATTTGGCATTCTTCTATTTTGCTTGTTGAAGCAGGCCAAAACAGCTGATGGTTAGAAAAAAAAAGGCACATCAGATAAATTAGCGACTAACAGATTGAAAGAGGCGTAACATCAATATGCTCATGAGGTTTCATTATATCCTAAGTACATGGGCAAAAAAACACTGTGCAAAATGAGTACAATGAATGCTCGGACATTTTTAGTTTCCACACAAGTCTCGGTGTCAGTGATTACAGCTAGCTATCATCTGTGGAAATGTGTGTTTTCAAACCCGGGAGAGGTGCTTAAAGGTCGCTCTCAATGAATATATCAAGCAATTTACTTGACAAAAATGGATGCGGTGCAGCACTCTCTGGGGGAACCTAAATGCTTTCCCATCTGTTTATGCACTTCATGCCTGTCAATTACACAGAAGATGATTCCTTCGCTGCATGCGGAATTAGTTATAAGTGAGCATGAGCGTTTTTATGGCTATTTTGAAAAACCCTTAAAGTGTACGGAGGATAGCAAATGCATGGTAATTTGCGCACACATTACAATAATATCCTCAGCAGTGGTGTTGTGTTGTCTCTTACACAGTGTTTTTACATAACATTCATGTTTTCTTCTTTGTGCCTGTGAGAAAAAAAAATAGCTCACCATGATACCAACGCTGCAATGGCATAAAGCGTTTCTGTTTAACTGCAACAATAAGCATCTGCTGACCTTAAGTGTGCCATGGGTGATGTTGTTGATGTCCATGGAGAGAACATGGTCCTTGCAGCCCACATACATCCTGTCCTGGTCCTCATCCATCTGCAGCAGCCTGTAGTCCATGGCTTTGTCTGATATACTATAATGTTCAAATGACTCAGAGGCCTGCAGGTCTAAAAGGCACACAGAGAAAGCTGACTAAGTATAACATACAAATAAGCTTGTTTAAACACTGTC